TGGCAGATACTCCCTTCACCCTGGCTAAAAAGGCTAAAATGACCAAAGAAAAAGTGGAAAACAGTTAAACATGAGAGGTTTAGGACAAAGTTTGTGTTTTTTCCATTGTTTAAGCACTGCTTCCAGCCAAGAGTGATACCATATATGCCCCATAGCTGCAGAAAAGGCTAACATTGTTATATTTTTACAAAAAAAACAGCTGAACATGAGAGGTTTTTGGACCAATTTTGTGTTCTCCATTCTTTAAGCACCGGTTTGAGCACCGGCACCGTTTCAAAAGTACCGATTTGGCACCGGTATCGGATAAAACCTAAACGATACCCATCCCTAACGATCAGTGCTAAAAGGTATATGCGGGTTTTAGAACATATCCTCTCATCCATAAGTCTTTTCTCCCCACAGGAGGCCTTCAATATTTCAGCAAGACAATGCTAAACCATATACTGCATCAATTACAGCAGCATGGCTTCATAGTTGAAGAGTCCAGGTGCTGAACTGCCTGCCTGCAGTCCAGACCTTTCACCAACTAAAAACATTTGGCACATAGTGAAACAAAACGTACAACAAAGCCAACTCGGGCAGGTACAATTCTATGAAGACGAAAGCCCAGCAGCTGAACTTGTCTGTTCCAGGTAGTTTATAGAAGATTAAGAAAATAGGAGGCTACACATTGGTAAACACAGCCCTTTCTCAACTTTTGAGACGCGTTTCTGGCGTCAAATTACAAATGAGTTAATATTTTTCTTAAAAGGGTACATTTGATCGTTTTATTTGTACTACTATGAATAAAAGTTTACGATTTGCAAAATTTTACACAACATTCCAACAAACACATGGATGCAAAGTCACGCGGCTGAGGTGCATGTGTGAAAACTGTTTTAATGATTAGTAATTACCACTCTGAGCTCCGATGATAATAGTAACCCTCAATAGTGGCTGTGGACTTCTGGAAGCAGATGTAGTAGAAACCTGCAAAGGAGGCACCACTGATATCTTTGATCGTGTGGTCTGGAACTAGAAACTGCTCCTGAATGCACAACAAGAGCGGAGGTTAAAGTCTGACCCCAAGCTGAGAACATGCACAAATTAATTTCACAGCTAAAATGAATGACAGAGTGCCAACCTTCCACCTCATGAAGATATAGTCACTGTTTTCCAGTGCATCATAGTCAAAGTCATCAGAGTTGAAGTTCCTCGCATATTTGCAAAAAGCCTTAAACTTGCTCTGGTGACAAAACAGAAGAGCAGGAAATAAATACCAACATCTGCAACAGATCTTCTGACAGTAACCATTTGGATATAAAAGAGTTGGTAAACAGGTGTCAGCAATCACATTAATTAAAGCACTGCATCATTAGTAACACCTGTGCTACTCATACTCCTTAATATCAGGTCAAAAAACAAAAAAACAAAACTGTTGTGAAATAGGCTTTGTTTGATTCCCCTACTTTATCTTCTGCCATGTAGAAGATAAAGTAGGGGATAAAGTAGTATAAGTGTTAAATAACACAATAGGTGTTATTTAACACCCATTGTTAGCTGAAAAATCAGGAATGGCGAAGCAATGACCTCCACACACAACATTAGGAAAGGCTTTCCTGAAAGACATGAGGACACAAACTGCCCTCAAACTGGTTAGATAAGGAGCTGTGGCGACTTTAACTGTGCCCTTTTGAGAAAAAGCTGTGTCATGGTATCCAGTTTTCCAAGCTAGAGAAAACTGACACATGTCCAAAAACTTAAAAATCAATGATGAAGAAAACTAAAAGCACGACTTACCCAGTGTTTTTTATCCACATCCTCATCCGCATCCCACTTTCTAGTTAAAAATGGCCTCTTCCGGCTGATCATTTCTCCAGCGAAGAACGTTGTTAGAGTCGGATACTCCTGCCAGACACAGAATGAATTAGGAGGGAAAGATAAAACGGGACTGTTCGCAACGTGATTTGGTACTCGTTTTAAAACTGCATTTATCCTGCACTGTGCAAATAGCCTATTCAAATGTCCAGATTTCCTGTGATTTACATGTTGATGGGCAGGGCTTAAGCTTCAGGATCAGCAGAATAGATGTAGTGCATTATTCCTTTTCATCTGGCTGCTTTCACAATTTCTTAAAATATGGTACTGTATAACATATAAAAATAATAAAGCAGCATTAAGAGGAATGCTCCCTTGCTTTAATTTTCTCATGGATACCAGGTGAGCTTTAATACAACTCCTTCACTCACAACCTGACTTCTCATCTTTCACTCGCTCTGCCAAAGCTGAACTTTAACCCAAGATCCCCCTGACCTTTTTGCTTCCATATGTTACATAATGTAATGGGTATACAGCTGACACTTGAGCTTAAGCATGTGTGGTTAGCCCTAAAGGCCTCACATCTAGCCAAATCTACTTTGCTTAAGTTGAATGAATGGGATTGTTCTAGGGAAAGTTTTAAAAAAAAAGGAGTTGGTTGATGCAACCAAGCTGGCCATTATTTAACTAAAGTTAAACTTGGCTCTTCTTTTACTCATAAGTTGATTGATTACATTTTTAAGATTTTTTGCTTTTGAAGTGGAAACGTTGTGAACCACTGGTCTAATGTACTCTGTCACATTGCAGTCTGCTTAAAGCGAGTGGAAACCAGTCAGTGGAACGACTTCAAAAGAATAAAGGTCAGTCTTACTACTCATGATGTAGCTGGGAGACTTACCTCAGTCAGGCCATTGATTTTCAGGTAGCCACACAAATACGAGTCCTCTACAGTCACATGCTGAGAAAGACAGAACACATATTTTACTGATGGTTCCACATGACGAGCACAAAATCCTTCATGGTAACAAGAAAACTGTCTGTAAGTTGGTGGGAAAGCTCACCGAGATGGGAAATATTATATTAGCTGTGTCAACACCAGCTGCTATATTAATACTGCAATTTAGGTAGCTTTGAGGGGGGGGGGGGGGGGGGGTTAAACGCCAACTTGTCTGTGAAACATCGGTTTTTAAAGCCAAGTTGTCCCAAATTCAAACTCCAAAAGAAGACATAAGGTCATTAAGCTAGCTCAAAATTTGCTCAACATGTAGGAAAAGCAACAAAAAACAAAAAATGAGCTAATGAAGCTAACATCTGGAAAGATAGCAAGTTAGCAACTATGGATGCACAGAGTCTACTCATATGCAGACTTTGTATATAACTATACAGGACCACAAAATTACCTGCAAGACCACCTCAACGTCGTACGAGTTGCCTTTACTCTTCTGGTATCCACGAAACTGTGCGCCGCTGTACAGAAGCGAGGTGGCCACCCCCGGCTGGTGGGTGTTGATCGGGGCAGGGGGGACGAGAGAGGCCGAGGATGGGCAGGCCGATCGGATGGTGCCGCGGTACTCTGCTCGGACAGGCATGACGAGCGATAAGGTGCCACCGTCAGCAACCGTCATGAGCTTTGTCACCGGGAACACCGCAGTTGCAGAGAGAAAAAGTGGGTGCTGAGACAGGAGGGCCTGTCAGCTACGTAAATTCTCAGAGCTCCAAAACTTCGCTCAAATGAAAACCTAGTCCGAGAACTCGCTTCTGCCAAACGCCTCTTCCCTGAATTTGATTGGCTGGGAACTGGCGCGCGGCTGCTTCAGCTGGATTCTTATTGGAAAAGGCACCGAAAGTTGTTCTGGGTATTGTATTCAAATCTCACGCAGTTCAAGATTTTTTTCTTTTAACAGTAGCTTTATTTATACACTTTAACACAGACAGCGACCAACTCACGTTTGCATGATTTAGTGCTGAAGTGCTGAAATCACACATAGAATCATACAATATTTTAGAAAGTGTTGAGATCAATTAAGGTTAATTCACAGCAGTTCAATTACATAATTAGGTAAACAAAAGAGCAGAATGGTCAACGGCTCACCAATCTGGAAAAAAACAGTGTATACAAATTGTGTAACAATTTCAGTTCCATAACATGCAATTGTAAAGACTAAATATCTCTTCATCTACAGCACATAAAATCATCAAAAGATTCAGAGAAAATCTCTGCCTAAGAGACAAGGCTCAAAATCACTGCATTACACACAGGTGCTATTCCAGTGCATGGACTCAGGAACGCTTCCCAAAAAAACATAATTTGCTGTACCGTCCACAAATACAGGTTAAACATCCATGATGGAAAAAAGAAGACACGTTATTCACATACACCACCGTCTTTTCTAGACTAATGCTCATTTACAGTGCTGTGAAAAACTATTTTCCTCCTTTCTGATTTATACCAATATATTAGTTTATTCATGCCAACAGTCAAACATGGTGGTGGTAGTGTGGATGGTCTGGGGCAGCTTGTGGCCGTGATGTCTTCATCAGTACATTTGGTTCTATGTAAAAAAAATGTCCACTTGGGTGTTTCCTAAGTCAGGAATATCAGTGGATGATGTAGGGTGGTGGAAAGAAATGGGGCAGGGGTAGGGGTGGGGGTCAGGGGGATGAAAGCAAGAGATGTTTGCAAACAGTCTCTGACAAAAAAATAACATCAACAAACAAACTTGTGAATACATTACTGCATTGCACACTGACCAAAATTTTCCACGTGTGGGACTAATAAAGGTTTATCTTATCTTACATTTTTCCTCTTCCAATGCTTTCCAGGCTTCCTGTAATTTGATCTCTATATTTTCAACATTCTTTGTATTTTGCATTGCCTTTGCTGTCTCTTGCATTTTTTTCTCCTTCTTAAGTGCTTTTTGAGCTTCTAACAATGCCTTCTTTACATTTTCAGTCTCATTTCTTGCCTCCTGTTTACCCCCTTTTCTTCCTCAAGTGTTTTCTGGACATTCAATAACTCCTTCTTTAGCTGTTCAGCTTCCTTCTTTGCATTCTCCAGTTCGTTTGTTGCCTCCTGCCTTTTACTTTTCTCCTCTTCAAGCGCTTTAAGGACTTCCTGTAATTCTTTCTTGGGATTTTCCGCTTCCCGTTTTGTGTTTTGAAGTTTCTTTTTTGCCATCATTTCTTTTTTTTCTCCTCTTCAAATACTTTCTGCACTTCCAACAGTTGTTTTGTATTTTTGCTTGCTGCTTTCTCCTTTTCTTCCCTTTCTGTGCTTTCTTGACATTCAGCACTTCCCGCTTTGCACTTATAACTTTCTTCTCTTTATTTTCTATTAAATTTCTTTGACCTACGACCTCCACTTTTCACTTCTTCAAGGGCTTTTGGATTTTAAGATTCCTTGTTTACTCTCCACCGTTTTGCTTATCTTTCCTTGGTCGTTTTGGCCTTTTCACCAATAAATGAATCTTTTACAGAGAAATTCAGGGCAATTGATGTTGTCTTATCTGAATTTGTTTGTAGTGAACTGCAGTTTTCTTTGTTGTGAGCAGAGGTGGTTGTATAGATGCCTTTCCTTCCCCCAAAGGGGATTTGTGTCTCTGCCTGGAACTGAACCAGCAACCTTTCATTTGCAGAACGAGTGTGCAAGTACATCACAGAGCCACTGTGATAAATACACACACACAAAACAGAGAAATCAGAAAGGGGTTAAATACTTTTTCACAGCACAGTAGCTCATGCCCCAAGTATAGGTTCTTGCTCTGTATCTTTTTTTCTCTTTTAGCGGTAGTGTTTGAACCCTCATTTGTGAATACAACTGTATTCACTGACAGTGGTTTTTGAAGTGTTCTTGAGGCCACCAAGTGGTTTCCACTATATCAACTCCTCCAGCTGCTCCCTCAAATTATCCACATATCTGTGGATGTCTGAGATGTTCATGCGGTTCCGCTTCAGTTCCTCATCTCGTATCTGTAAAAAGCAACAAAGCCATCAAACAAATAAATAGTCTTTGATCAAAGAAATATTAAAATAGAGTGCAAAAGTCTTGAGTCCCCCTCTCATTTCTTTATATTTTGCTAAGAAAATGGGAAATGCATGCAGTGATTTATTGAAAGGCGTAAAAAACAACTGGAAAACAAAGCAGAGCCTGAAAATCAGTATTTATTATGTCCACCTTTATTCTTCAACAGTTTGAACTCTCTTAGTCGTAGTTTTCAGGAATAGTTGAAGGACATTCAAATCTCTTCTTTGGATTCTGTTCTCTCAAGAAACACTATTGGAAATCCTACAGAACTACTGCTCAAGATCACTTAAAAAATACAAAAAGATTTGGTTACTTGGAAGCAACATATAAAGAAATGACGGTAAGTACAAGATTTATATGTCGACTTTACATTAGACTGTTTGTTTAGTGTAATTTCAGTTCTCTACCCCCTTAATGAGGGCCTCCTTCCAGGCACTGATGCCTGTAGTCAGCTGAGTCTCTCGGTCATTGATCTTCAGGAGGTGGTTATTGTGGGCTGTGGCCAGTGCATCTATCACTGCATCTCTGTCTTCAAACAGCTAAAATATAAAACATAGGAGTGACAGAATGAGGCCTTGATACTGTTAGCGCACCATGTTTTAAGCTCACCTGAAGAAATATATTATACTTGATCTGGAATTGAAAAAAATATAATGCAGTTTTTGTATTTTCTTTGATTCTTTTTCTTTTTTCACTCTTTGAAAACTACACGCAATGATCTGCACCCTCTATTCATGCACAGTTATCTGTTAGATTAACAAAGACCAGAACAGAGACAGAAACTTGCAGGGTTTTTTTTTTCAGCCATATATTTGTAACCATATATTTTGTAATACCAGTTTGGCTTATAAAGGACGACACTGACCATTATAACATCATCTGGCAAGTCCTCCTTCCGGGCGTCTCTGGCCACTGTCTGCAAGATTTTAGCAGCAACTATTTGCATCTTCTGATAATAGTCATCTTCAAGATCTCGACAGTGGGAGAACGTATTGTTTTGTTAAAGAAATCACTCACACAGGAAAACATCTGTTTGATTAAACCCCATTAAACCCTCATTTGTGCTACGACACTCTGGTGAGTTGATGAACCACTTTCTTCTGCTTATCCAGTTTAAGGTTGCAGGGACAGGTCACCAGTGAGTCGGAGTGCTCATGACTATATAATTACTAGCATACAGTAATGAGTGTTTTTAGAATGTTTTTGAGGCAGTTCTGTTATTTTCCTGTAAAAAAAAAAAGGATATATCCCCTGTGCGATTTCACTGAAGTGTCTAACCATGTCTGAGATTCTGCTCTCAAAAGTTTTGATCTTCTCCTAAAATGACCAAGCAGCATCACTTTGATTAAATGTGAAACACAGACATACAGTCTCATGATATATCAAGTATTTTGACATAATTTATAAAATAAGAAATTTCATGAGATTTCATTGAGATATTTTACAAATTATACAAGTGTACAAACTCTAGCATACACTAACCTCCATCTCGCTGACCAGCTGAAACTCCAGTGTCATGAGGTTTTTACAGAGCTGGTTAATTTCACCATTGCAGTGGTCAATCTTGACTTTGCGTACCTCTGGGTCTGATAACTGCTGCAACTCTTCTGTCCGCTTTAAAGGAGAAAACACAAAATATCATCTCATGCTGAGTCACTGCATTCATGTAAATCACTGTGCACACGGAAAAGGCGATTGCTCCCTGCTTGCCTCTTTGTGTTCATGATTAAACTTTGCTAACATCTGCGATGCCTTCTCCTGGCAGTCTGTCACAGCCTTTTTTTGGCAACTGAAGAAAGACTTCACCTCTGTCTCCCTTCGTTTGTGCTCAGCCAAGCCCCTTTCAAATAACTGTGTACACAGCTCCCCCATTTGGTGCTCAAACGTAAGTGCAAGGTCAAGGAACCAAAAGGAATGATTGGTTTAGCCTGTACTATGACAATAATAACAATGCATGCATGGATTAGGAAACCAGGATGATAAAAGATATCTTTGAATCAGAGAATCCATTCCTGGTGCACAGTGCAGTGTTTGTGCTTTTGGATCATCTTTAAACATGGTCCTAAACAGAGAAGAGCCATTAAGGAACTCCACAAAGGCATCCTTCACAAAAAACAACAAAAAAGAAAACATAAGTGTCAGACTGTATGTATACAAATCAACAGATGAGTCACAAAAAAAGATAGTACTCGGTGTAATTTTAGCTCAGCTTCGTGTCTTTGTCGAGCCTCATCAGCCTGGTGTAGCTCCAGCTCTTCAAGTCTCATTTTCTCAAGGACATAGTGATATTTGATAGATGCTTCCTTTCTCTGTACGTACACAGAAATAAAATTTTGTTACTCTGCATCAACCAGCAATTCATAAATGCACATGAGGATGACTTTCAAACAAGCTTGGGTACAGTCAGCTTTACTGTTACATCTGTCTCCCTCTCATTCACACACATACTCTGTTTTGCTTCTGCTGACCTTCCTTCTTCTCTCTAGCACACCTCCATTTCTCCAGACTCTCTTCCACCTGCTCGCTACTCTCACTACGGATCCCATTTTCATCTGCAAACATCGTAGTCAACCTGTCCATCACCACTGCAAACAAAAAGGGGCTCAGGTGTAATCCTATCCCCATCTTGAACTAATGTGTCACTCCTTCTGCACACCTCACCACTGTCTCACTGTCCTCATACATGTCCTAGGCTTGGGTATACTCATACTCTGTAAATGTGTATGTAAATGCTACTTTAAAGGTAAGCGCAGAACAAAATGTAGATTGGGTTTGCACTTACTGTCTTCTGGTCAAGTATTCTGGAGTCTAGGAACATCAGCTTTGGAAAGTAGGCAGCGATGAAAAATCTGTAATCACCCTCGTTTAGGAAAGGATTTCCAAACAGGTTGAACGCTGCCAGGTTCTTGAACTTCCTGAGGTAGAGCACCTTTGAAATGCATTAGGTTAATTAAACAGTATCACATGAATGTTTCCCCATACTTGCATGGCAAATGCAGAAACGTTTCTTACATTATCCAACTGCCCAATTAGGTTGTTTGAAATGAAGAAGTGAGTTAGGTTCTCAAGTGTGTCCATATTTTCAATGACAGAGATTTTGTTGTTGGATAGATTCAGCACTTCAAGCTTCTGCACACACTCCAGACCCTCTATTTTCTCAATCTGGTTGAATGACAGATCTGAGGGACACATTCGAAATGACTCTCATCATTACCAGTAGATTCTGAGCTGATATAAGATGGCAGTGCCTACACATCATTTGGTCAACAAGAACAAACTTTGTATCTTACTAAGCCACGTCAGATTAATCAGATGGTCCAGTCCCTGGATCTTTTCTATAGCATTGTTATTTAACTCAAGTTTGGACAAAGATGAGAAGTCCCATAAGTGATCAATCCTCAGGATGTCTGAAAATGTATAAAAAAGCATCCTCTCACTCAAACAAAATCAGCATGCTAAACATTGCTACATTCCTCATCACCTTCATGATTTCCCCTTACTTTTGTACTCCAGTCTTAATTTCTGGACTTCATTAAAGTGGATTTGGCTCGCATCTGGAAAACGCAGGATGTGATCTGGTTTAAACTGTTCATGCACAGCATGCTGCAGGATCTCTTTGTCCATCGACGTGGGCTCAGAGATAATATATTCCGAGCTCATGCTGCTGTTTTGTGACCGGAGACAGACTTGGCATCACTTTACACTCTGATAAAAAAAGAAAAAAGAAAAATATGTCATTAAAAACAAACAAAACTTAAGAAACCAGGGAGGGGGTAAATGCTTTTTCACATCATTGTATGCAAATTTGAGGATATTGCTCTGAATATACTGCCAAACACCGTCATTGGCTCTCTAAGAAATAAATAAATGAATTTAGCCAAAGCCAAACCTAACTACTGCTGTTTTTGTCACCGTAAAACGCTTAAAAATACAGAAAACCAGCTGGTGTTATCGATAAATTCAGTATGCCGCTACTTACCCCTGTTGTTTACGCTCAGTTACATAGCAACAGGTTCATTTTAAGCTGCATTCAAGTACTTGATCCCGTTGAAAAAGGCATCAACCTGAGACAAGACTCTGTAAGAGTTTTGCTTTAACCATAAATTCTGTCTTTTAAGTCTGAGGTTATCTTGTAATGTACATGTATGTCTTATATTCATAAAAGCACCACAAGTCGAAATTGTGTTTAGTTGGGATCACACATTTTGTGAATTTTTTTGGGGGGTAGGTAGCTTTTTCAAGATATGAGCTATTTATAGTCAACAACAATGAACGTTCATTTTTTATATTCCAAGGATTTAATCCTTGTCTGCATTGTTTTTATTAGCTGTTTAGAGTTATTATTCCCCTCTGTAATAATTAAATGCATGCACGTAGAAAAGGTTTGTTGAACATAGCTTTAGTTACTGACTGTGACTGACATCGATTGTAGCCACACGTGTCCAAAAACCTCTGTACGTGTCCAACTTTTTGAACCAATAGAATTCCTTGGTAGGCGGGACTTGATAGTACTGCCTCTGGGCCGAAGCCTGTCATTCCCGGGCGGATCGTTTGTTGTCAAGATGGAGTTCTTACTTGGAAATCCGTACAGTACTCCCGTGGGCCAGTGTATAGGTACGTTAGACCTGAAATTATTTTTTAAAGGCTTGCTGCTTCCTTCCCCCAACGTACTTTGAATGTGGGCCATCATATATTGTTTACTACTGGGCTCAAAGGTGGAAATAGCGAGCTAACGGGTGTCATCGTAGCAAACGTCATCTGCCTGGAATGGGCTCTCAGCTAATGTTAGCCAGCTAACCCATAACTTAGTCCGGTGTAATCACAAGAAATGCATTAAGTTGAATAACAATGCATATGTGTAGACACTGATTGCAGCTTAAGAAGATCAAATCAGGTTAACTGAAATTGACGCTATTGTATTGACATGACTTAAAGTGTCTTCAAGAGAGACCCAGATAACTTCCATACTTCCTTAGTTTCTGAACAATAGTTGACCAAACTGTGCGGTCAGCCTGGAGGTTTTTTCCCTCCAGTCTCGATACGGTGTGGTGCTTTTTCTCCCCAGGGGGGGCATATACGTGAGCTGCAGCATCCCTTTGGTGTAGTTGCATCAATATTTGCATTTCCCTTTTTGTTTTTCAAAGCAAGCTGAGATTCATAATAGTTGGTACCAAGGCCTGACCATGCCTTTATAACTGACAATGAGCCGGCTACTGACAACAGCTGTTTTATGAAGTATAAAGATAAGAATTTATGTTTACTTGAAGAATGTGAAAGTAGGAGTGTACTGTAGGTGCCGTAGGTACATTGAACTTTACTTTTTTTCGCCGTTTTTGTGAAAAAGAGTTAATGTTTTGGCAAACTACTCCTGCAAAACAGATGTGTGCGAGACTTTTAATTTCTCCCACTGTTTGTTTGTGCTTGCCTTTGACCAAGTGCAACAGCTGCTGTTTTTTTGGTTAAGTGTCAGAATTACTCATGTTTTTACTTTCTGCAGAGCCATGTAGTGCTTTAATCAAGCTCTCGACTGGGCAGAACCAGATGCATTTTTGTTTTTGCATGCAGCATGTCTTGGACCACCATCCCCCCTTCCATCACAGAATTGGCCTTGTCTCCTGCCAGATCTCTCCGGTTGAGCTGCTGCACTGTTTGGGGCTTGACACCCAGCTGTCATTTGCAGCGGTAGTGATCTGTACACCTCAGTGGAGGGGCAAAGTATCATCTTACCAGACACAAAGGGAATGTGAGAGTTCAAGCCTGACAGTGGAGATGTGTGGTAAATCTAATTGCTGTAAGAGCCCGATGCATTACCACAATTTGTGTCCATATTTAATAAAGACAACCAACCTTTGGCAGCTCTTACTATGACCATGGCACATGTATGAGAGGAAATGAATCGAATAATATCAAGACAAACGCATGGGACAAATAGGATATATGTGAGAGTGGAGACAACGAAAGGCAGGAATTAAAGAAGAGTCTTAAAAGTTCACTTTGTAGCCAGAGAAGGACTTTGTGGCTTTGTTGCCAAGTGCATGGCACAGCTTGCCTCTGTTAAAGCCATGTGATCGACTGGTTTCACTTGTGTGGTGTCAGTTCTCAGGGCTGGGGTGGGTGCTTTGACACAACACCGTGAATTAATGCACTTAGCAGGCATTTAACTCCATTAGTAGGCTCATGTTCAGTGTCCTTACAGTGTGTGTCACACGAATAGATCGGAGTTTTAGGGGGGCGTCCCTTCCTTCTGTCCTCTGCTGCCCGTGCTTTGCCCTGCCACAACATGACAATCCACTTGAGGAGATTACATGGGTTATCCCAGAAGAAGTAGCTGGTTAAATCTTTCAAACTCATGCTCTGGATGCTGTAGACTCAGAAGGTGGACTCAGAGGTGTTTTTAAGTGTTATTCATGTTTGAATTCACTGCATGCCTTTTTATTTTTGTAGATAAGTGGGTTTGTTGAAGCTGCCCAGCCTGTGAAAAGTTGATTTGAGAGGGGAGTTAAAGCATGAATAATTCATGGTTTTGAGGCATGTCCAGTGGTTGCATGGCCCTGTGAGACCCCTGGCTCTGGCATGACATCCTGCTAAGGGCCTCTGAGCTTCCCGCAGAGGAACATCTCTGTCTACACTCAGGACTCATCTAATGACGATCTATGCAGTCAGAACCTGTATCGTATTTTGCTTCAGTAGAAAATCTTTTTTCTTTTTTAAAAATTTTGCTCTAAGTCTCTGTGTTTCTATAAAACGGCAGCTTCCACAGACAGGATGGATGGATTTGGAGGGCTGCTGAGGAAGAAGGAGATGGAGCGGGGAACAGTGATGAATGCAGAGCCAGTTCATCTTTGTCAGCTTTCACAGTCTGGCTTCCTTATTTCCTCCTTGTAGCCAAAATGCTATTAAATGAAAGGGTGGAGTGTGAAGGCGAGAGCCGGTCATTGGAACTTCTGTTTTTCTGCATGTTGTAATAGTTAAAACTGAGTACACAGCTGGATCACTCACTGTCAGTCAGTGTGGCTTTCCCTCTGAGATCTCGGCTTTCCACTTCCCAACTGACTTCTTGGCTCTTTTCAGTTAATTTACTGGTGTTGGAGGCTTTGGAGGAGCATGTTTTTGGCAAAATTTTATTGCATGTTTGGGTTTACCGTGACAGCTGGAAACTGCAGCGTTGTGAAAATGAAATAGAATGGTAGTCTGGTGATTACGGATCCAAGACTTCATCCAAACCTCTTCTTACAAAGATTACTCTTACGTTTGGCTATATTTATGGCGCTTGCTTGCACAGAGTGCTCACATCTCAAAAAGGGAACTTAATAGCTTTTTCATCTGTATTTATAATTGCAAAAACAAACAGTTAAAAGTAGTACTGAGTTAAATCTGGTCACATTTTCCATTGGTCTATTTATTATTTCAGTAATCTATATTTCTACTGATATGAGCCATGAGCTCTGGGTAGTGAATGAAAGAATGAGATTGCAGCCTTGAGGTGACTGTAGTAATGATTTAGCATAGGGCTGTTCGATATAACGATATCATTTTAAGCTGTGTTTGTTTTGTGGTGTTGCAAAATAAACTGTTTACGGCAATATTTTTTCATCGTTTTGATGGTCACTGTAGTGGCTATATTAATTTCTTAAAGTTCTCTATTTCTCTTATATTGAATATAACCACACTACTGATGGACAAGCGCCTGTTTTTATGCGTTGTCGTTAGCAACAACGATGGTAACACCATCGCGTGTCCGCTTGTTTATGTTCCACATAAACCTTTCACAATAAAGCTCAAGATCCTGTTGAGACTTTTCAAAATAAACTGAATCACGCGAAAGAGCAGATTATTTACGGATGAGAAGTAAAAAAGAGCCGCCAGGTGCTAAAAAAAATAGACCTTAGACTCAAACGTTAGAACAGGCTTTTCCCCGCAGCACGCTGTGTAATAAATACAAAGAAAACGGCGGCTGTTACAACTTATGTCTAAAAATGTATTGTTTCATGCATCGGTTAAAACACTCGACTCCAGGTACATGACGCGCAGCTGGAAACACTTCCCGCAAGTCGAGCTGCTCGAGATTCACAGAATTTACAGAAAATGTTACATTTTTGTGATTTATATCGTTATTGGGACGATAGAATTCTTATATCGGGATATGAGATTTTGGTCATATCGCACAGCCCTAATTTAGCACTACATGAATGAAATTGAATTGAATGCAAACAAGCGAGGTGGCTGGGGTTAGGTTAAGCAGCATGGTCATTCGGGAGGGGCTCAGGATATGGCCTACTTCCCCTCATTGCAAGAAACCAGTTGAGGTGCTTTGGCAATCTGACTGGGATGCCTTGTGGAGGGTGAGGTCTTTCAAGCATGAGAGGAGGCTCCAATGCAGAACCAGGACATGTTGGAGAAATTATATCTCTCGGCTGGCTTGGAAACCCTCAGACGAACTGGAGGAGGTTTCCCTGGGGGAGGAATGTCTAGACTGCTGCCTTGTGACAGATCCAGATAAGCAATCGAAGATTGATGGATGGACAAGTCTGCGACCACATGCTGGCTTATTTACACAAGTGTGCTTGTGATGTTATGTAAATGAGGGTTGCTTTAATCAGTGTGCTTTAGCTTGAGAACAACTGAGCCTGGCTAAAATGCAGCACCATGGTAACACATGAGACAGCTGGCATTGTGCAAACCATGAATTTTTCTAT